TCATAAGAGCTGCCTTGGTCAATAAGTATCCTTCTTACCTGGCACTCTCTAATCTTCAAGGTCACTACCAAAGCATCGTTATGTGGATCCTAGACCACCTCTAAGTCTTTGTCCATAAAAGTGATTGTCATCCCCCGACTTCCTTTCGTTCAGGGCTTCTTTAGTTAAACTTGGAAGACAAGCTACATATGTCTCTCTTTTTGCATTTCTCCCCAGATCTCATTTGCCCTTGGATTGGATCACGTTGATAGCCCGTGGTCCATTTGCTTATGGCACTAGAGGTATGGTGGTGCTGTCGGCTCCTAGACCAGTTTCGCCTGTTCCTCTCTCATCTTCTCCTCATCTACCAAGTCCATCAGGTGTCCTTTCTTGACAAGGTCCTTTAGATGTTGCTTCAGAGCCCGACATCCTTATGTCATGTGCCCTTGCTCATCGTGGTAAGCACAATTCTTCATAGGGAATCTGTCCATAAACTCCCTTGGAGTTTTCTGCGGTGGCTTGAAGTAAGGCTAGTTTTTTTATTCTATTCAAGATCCTATAGATCGGGATCTTGAAGACTGTGCTCATGGCCTGCATGGCCTTTAATCTCGACTTCGGCCTATCAGTGCTAGCACCTCTTCAGCTACGCTTTAATGAGCCATTTCACTTCTCCTGTTTTACTGTGTTTAGGGTTGTGCAAAATACCACCCAATTCGCTAAAACAGCACCGATCCGCATCAATCTGCACCACTCTAACTACTAATCGCGGTTTAAACTTTAAAATTTATAATCCGCCAACTGAACCGCTCCATTCCGCTATAGTCCGTTAGAGTTAACACATATATATTTTTTAACCTCCAATGAAATATCAATGTAAAAATTAGTGTGAGAGAGATTTAAGATATAAAATTTATTACAAATTAGTAGTTATGTATATGAAACATATTATGTAAAATTATTATATGCTGTATATCTAAAAAATATTATACAAATTAGTGCTATATATTATGCAAATGTATGATAATTAGTTAGAATATTCTTCAATCTGCTAATCTACCAAAAAGTTCCCAAATCGCAATTTGTCAATCCGCTCATCCGCCAACCCGCTATTCGGTTTATAATTTTACTCTTAAACCACTCAAACCGCACCGCACACACCCCTAACTGTACTATCTTTCTTTGCTTTCTTGTTCCCTTCTACCCTGGTATACTTCTTAATCCTCGCCATCAGATCCTCCTTGTTTTTCGAGAGGGTCTTTGCAAGAGATTGTCGAAGTGGGAAATCGTTCTCTAAGCCATTTTTAAAAGACACGACATCTAGCTTCTGGTTGCATGCTGGAATCCAATTGTATACCTCATAACACCTCTTGGTGTAAGCCCTATGGCTTTTGCCATCATCAATCTTCAATGCCAATAGGGAATCAACTCTCAAAGGCAGCAATCTGTTGGTAATAAACCTGGCCACAAATATCTCGACCAGGCTTTCCCAACTCTTGATTGATCCCTTCAGCAACTTGAGGAACTAATATGATGTTATTTCCCTAAACGTTGACGGGAACACCTTACACAATAACTGTTTGTTCCCACTCCATAAAGACATTGCATTTAAGTATAACATGGAAGTTAGGGTTGGACTTACCATCATAGGTCTAGGACCTCGGCATGGTGAATCTCTTGGATGCTTCGAATGTGTCCAATTCAATTGAGAATGGTGACTTTGGCTGTGCGGTGGATATCATCTCGGCACCGTTTCTTTTCCTTTGGAGGTAATCTCGCAAGCCCTCATTCACTCTTCTAAGAGCTCGGCTATCAATCGACTTTAATCTCTTTGGTGTGCTGTTTTCCATATTGGGATGTGTATTCTTGGACTTCTCAATGTCTATTATCTTGTTGAGGTAAAGGCCCTGTCCGTTAACCTACCGAGATCTTTTGATCTGTGTCCTTTTGGTTTTCTGAGAATCTGCCCTTCGTGATTTTGTTCGTCCTGTGTTCGGTGATCGCAAGTTCGAATTCATAAATCTCTTTTCGTGCTAGGAAAAGGTTGGCACTGTTATCTGTTCTTCCTTCTGGACGCCGATGTTTACGATAGGAGTTGGCGTGGCCTGTAATGGAAACCCTGGATGCATCACCTTGTTTTGCATCATAAAGTTCCACAGTTTGCAGGTCTATCAGCTTGTTTGCCAGGTCCTTCATCTCATCATCCTTTCACAGTCATCGATCCTTCATCTCATCATCCCTTCACAATCATCTATCCTTCCAAACTTGGAAATCACTCTCATTGTAGTACTCCTCTTGGTTGCCCCTCCTCGGGCCACTACGGCTCTTAGCAGATTGTTTGTTTCTAGATCCACCTCTTGTACTTCGTCATTGTTTTCTCCTTCGATGTTTAGATCGATGTACTCATCATTCTTACTATGCATGTCGTCCCCAATTCTCACTTCTTGTTTGGCGTTGGCCATCTATTCTAACTAAGTTCCCATAGATGGCGCCAAATAAATTGTGGGTGTTGATTCCTCACAACCAATCAAATCTCCCTACCGAGATCTAGGGAACTCAACTGGAGAGCACACGGAAGAATAGATTAAGCCAAACACTTGCACACAAGAAGATAAGAAATACCACGGTGGCTTTTTCACCCGGAGCCACTCCGACGATTAAGTCAGTTCACAATCTCACAAAGATATTAGCTCAAGCCAACAGTGCCCTCATTCTCTAGAAGTCTTACTTCATTGGACTCTATCCTTTACAAGGATATCAATTATCTAAGACTCCTCCTATTTGTATTAAGATCAACCCTCTCAAGAGTCCAATCTTACCCAAATAGAGAGTCTGTCATTATCTAGGATTCTAGTCCCTCATTTGAACATCTTGGATTCAGATGTGGTTTGACCACACCTCTTTCAATCATAATCACCCATGTGGTAACCACCTAGGCCACATGGACAACTCAAAATTATGTTCCCACAACTGCCCCCAGGTTCTATTACCTTGGCAACCTGAGGTGATAAAACCTATATCATCTGATCTTCCAACATGTTGACTAAACAACATACTGGAGATATTCCTTTGACTGAGATCATGACTCGTCAGCTTCATGAAACAAAGACTCAAATGTCCACTCATAAAAAACCAAGAACCCATAATCAAGACAATCCTTCTTATCCTCATTGTCGGATGTTGGCCATTTATTCTTACTAAGTTCCCTCAAACGGTGCCAAATTGTGGGTGTTGATTTTTGACCTCACAACCAAACAAATCTCCTTGCCAAGATCTAGGGAACTCAGCTGGAAAGCACACGAAAAAATAGATTAAACCAAACACCAACACACAAGAAGATAAGAAATATCATGGTGGCTCGTCCACCTGGGGGCACTACAACGATCAAGTTAGTAACTTATCTCACAAGATATCATCACAATTAAACAACTCACAAACAAAAGCATATCTTAGACCAACTGTGGTGCCTTACTTTTATAGTCAACAGTGCCCTCGTCCCCTAGAAGTATCACTTCATAAGACTCAAACATAACACTTTGTAAACACAAAATTCATAGCTGCAAATAAGACACGAAATAAATGCACAAATAAGTAATTTTATTGATTATAATAAATGGGTACAATCCTCTATAGATTTGCTTTATTACAAAAGAATAGATCCTCTGATTCGATCTTTGAAACGGTTGCAATCCAACGGTTGTAAAAGCTTGTTGTTGAACTAGACAAGTTGATGAATTTTTTCAAGTCTCTGAATGGAAAAACTTGGAGAAGAGAGGCTTAATCGAGGGCTTGAACGGCTTGATCTTGAACGAGTTTCGAATTGATCTCTTTGAAAGGAAAGATCAAATTTGTATTCGTAACTTAAAAGGATTGACACAAGTTTAGAGTGCTTAATAATCCTTCACTTCAAGTTTGAAGAGGTTTAGAGAGAATTTTAAGAAAAAAATTTGACAGAGTCTTGAGATTACTTAGGAATTTGCAAGACCTTAGCAAAATGTCCCTCTCACTTTCTCAATAATGAGAGTCTCTATTTATAGGCTTCAAGAAAGACAAGTTAATCTTGGCAACTCCAAAATTTGATTTTAATTTCCAATAAAAGAGAAATTTGTCTCTGATTTTATAGAAATAATTTGCATTGAAATTTGAATTTGAATTTGACCAAATTGTAACAACATATCTTCATGGCCCCCACACCTTTGGGTTAATCCAATTGTCAAGATGGGTTTACTTTTCTTTTGGTGTGATTCATAATTTAAAATGGGTTGAGGTCCATAATTTTAGTCGGACCCACATCTATTTGAAAATTTTGACCATCTTGATTTTGACTAAGTAAGAAAAATTTATTTGTCTTAATTAATCAAACGATGATTAAATTATCTTAAAATTTTGACGTCTACAAACTTATCTTGGACTCTAAGCCAGATAAAAATGATCCAACTTAAGAGTCTCATTTTTATCCAAATAGAGAGTCTCAACTTACTTAGGACTCTTGTCCTCTATCCGACAATCTTGGACTCCGATATTACTGTGCCATATTTCGGCAATACGATAACAACCTTGGTAATATGGTTCATCCAGGTGGCATCTCGGATAATCACCTTGGCCACGTAGGCAGCCTAAAAATATGTTCCCACACTATTAGTTGACAAAATTATTTGAAACTATTTTTGGAAATAATTTTATTTTATTTTATGTTATTTTGTTTTGTTTTTTAATCTAATTTTATGTTTGGAGAAGCTAGGTAAAATTGTATTATTGTTATGTTTCATTTTATTTTTACAGAAAATCAAGTCAATTCTAAAAAAGGGTATGTGACACACTTTTCCGTTAGTTTGGGTGAAAAGAAACTAATGGTGGTTACTTCAGTCTAAAACCACATAGGAACTTTATAGTTATATTTTAACCATAATAGGGTAATGTGCTTCGGGCTGAAACCATGAGGGGGACAAAATGAATTTTTTCTGAAATTTAATGTGTTAGTAGTTATTGTAATGGTAGTGTTGATGTGGTAGTGATGGAAGGGCCCAGCAGGCACAGCACGGCACAGAGCAGAACAGAAATTCATTCCCACTTTAGTAGAGTCTCTCTACCATGGCCAGCGCCGCCGCCAGATCCTTTTTCCGATCAACTCCCGTCCGGAACGCGGCCGCCAAACTCGCCTCTGAAGCCAAAGCAGCTCGCTCTCCCTTTCGTCCCTCAACCCCAAAACCCCTTTCTCAACGTATCTTCAGGTAATTAACCATCTCTCTTATCTATAGATACATATGTGTGTGTGTGTTCTGATGATTTTGATATTTGAAGGTGTCCAGTTGAAATGAGTGCTTGCGTGGATTCGATGCAACCATTCCACACTGCGACGGCTTCGGCATTGATGACTTCGATGCTCTCGATTTCTCGCCACAGTTGTGGTTGGCTTCCCGAAGGTGATTTGAATTGCTTTCTTCTCTGGGTAAAGCTTGTTTTTAGATTTTACGGATTGATTATCTACACTACACTTTGAATTTTAGCTGAGATGTTTGATTTGATTGGACCCTACTTGTTAACTTGTTGGCTGGTTCAATATTTGTTTGGGTATATTGTAAGGTGAGTTGGAGATGTGTCCAAATTAGTTTGTTGATGTGAAATGCTACACTGAAAGAGCCTTTGGCATGGTTACTAAAATTGGGATCCTGCATTGGATCGATGAGAGGGTCTCATGGATTGGATCGGATCAGATTAGAGGATATGATCCTAAGATTCTACTTTATTAAAAATAGGTAAAAACGCAAATAAGGATGATGCATATTAAAAATAAGGTAAAAAATCACAAACCCATCCTATTTACGATCCCACCTACGATCCCATGCTATCCTACACGATCCCATATGATTCTACTTGTGATCCTGTTGTAGTATCGATTCTAAAACAATTTGGATCATTTTGGCAATTTAGATCCATCCTATGACTTGGATTGCGATTTTAATAAGCATGGTCTTTGAGTGATCTCTTAAAATTAATAGATTGGATTGGACCCAACCTTTCCCTTTTGAGTTTTCTAATTTGGTTGATTTCAGTTTTTACAAAATTGTGAAGTCTGCCTTCTAATAACATGGTCCAAGCATTTCTCTTTACTTTTTTTTGGAGCACATATTTTCAATGAATGTTTTTCCTTCTCTCTCTTTCCATTGCCATTTATTTTATTTCCTTTTTTTTTTATATTTAAATTTATGCCTCAGAAAAATTAGTTCTGTGTGTCTTTACACTGTGGCTGCAAAGAAACAATGTATAAAGTCGAGGTTGCGGATCCTTAATAGGATGTGTGGAATTCTGCTAGCCGTTCAAAGGAATCTAGGGCACAATCAGTGTTAATAAGTTTGGAGCAATGTTCTGTGAGTAGGATAGGGGAATTATTGGGGCTATATCTTGCCCTTGGTTGCTGAAACTGTTATAACACATCTATTAAAGTGCTGACATTACTTCGGAAATGTACACGACGATTAGAGGTTTTGGATCATAGTTGGTAATATCTTGCTCAAAACTCGCTGAAAAATATCTTGTCCTAGGCTGACGTTCAAGCAGGAATTGTTGGTTGTTTTAAAACTTTCTTCTGTGGTCCTGTTTGGTATCTGATGCCTTCTTATTCTTGTAAGTCAAAAGCAAGTTTGGTTGGAGTTTAATGAATGGAAATGTCAGGGGGATCCTCTTGTTGGAGCATATTGTGATCATCAATTTCATGCAATTTTTCTTTCGTGTTTTTTTTTCCTCCGGTTTATGGTGACGAATTTGGTTGTATTTTTTTTTACCTTCCCTGTGTCGTCATCCATTTTTATATGTTTGACAAATTAGTTTGTGCTGTAGGTTGCCTGACCAATTCATTTCTTTCTTGATTTAGGTATCTAGCAAAACTTCATAGGATCCTCCTTGATGTCCTTTTCCAACGTTTGAGTTTCGGGTAAGTTAGTATAATGTTGGACTTATCTTAAATCCATTTGAATTGTGAGATTAATATTTTTTTGAGAACACCCTATCATGCAAGTCAGCTTTTGTAATCTTTGTATATGGAGATTGGAGATTTTAGGTTCTTGTCAAGTTAAACATAATTTCTTAATATCTTCTTTAGTATTCTTTTTCATATTCTCTATGGAGATGTGAGATGCTAGGTTATATGACTATATTAGAGTTACATAATGCCCTGGATTTCGATATTGTTCTTTGTTTTCAGCCTTAAAATCAGTTAGCTTTCTGTTTTATTTTTTTATTTCTCTCTTTAATTTTTGATGGAGGAGTGCATACTTCTTTGTTCCCTGTTGTAGGCATTGACAAGACTAGATGAAGATGGAGAAGCAAAGATGGAATGATTTTTTAAAATGTTTTGGAGCTTTCGAAGTAGTAGGAACTGTTTGCTTCAATAGATTAGGTGGTTGGCTATATTTCAAGATTAACAGTGAAAACATGAGTTTATGAAAGTAAATTAACAGCTTTAAATGGGAAATGGCCTTTTTGTAGAATTTAGTAAAATGATCCTTGAATTTATTTTTCTTGTGCTGCTATATGATAGGCTCTATTTGTGCTCTTTCTTTCTCTCTTTCACATTTGCTCATTTTGCCTGTGGTATATAAACTTATTTTCAAAGACACAGTGCAACTGTTTCATCTTCAATGCCCTATTTTAACTAAACTGATTGTAAATGAAGGCTTACTAGTTTTCTTTATCAATCAGCTTCAAATGATGATGTGTGATGAATGTTCCGAAGATTGAAGCGAAGTTTTGTTTACAAAAATTCCACATACTAAGACTGTGACAGCTAAGTTAGAGATTTAGAGTGAGCTGCAGAAGAGCTAACTTGGATTTCCTACACCTCCAATCATAAATGAGCTACTACTACTAGATTCTGTTATTCTTCAAGACTCGTGCCTTCATTGTTTGATGTTTGATGGTTGATATATATATAGCTGTGTTCAAGTGTCATGTTAATTGCAAAATGTAATTTTGATTTCATTACTTTTCTTGATATTAATAAGATCATTAAAACTTCATACTAATTACTTGTATATGAATCAGCTTGCAATGATGATGTATGATGAATGCCCAAGGGGTTCAAGCTATGTTTTGTTTCGAACCATGTGCGATGGCTGATGAGCTAGACCTAGAATTAGTGAATGAAATGCTTTAGACAATTCTATTCTGGCCTGTGCTTTTCTATTCTTCTAATTTCACTGCTAAAGCTTGGCTTTAGTTCAAATGCTGTGAAAGCTAAATGTAAATGCATGTTTTCCTAATCTGTTAGTAGCGACATTTTTGGCTTGATGGTAATGAATCAAAATGAAACATTTTTTTTAGGGTAATTGTTCAATAATCCCGGAGTATGGACACGTGGTATTCCATAATGTTATGATTGGTGGAGAAGGTGGGTAAGTGGAGTATTATGTTTTTTTTATTTAAGGATGGGCCTTGGCACACGCGTAAGGTTGCTCAATTGTGCTATTGGCATTATGGTTTTGAAACACAAAAATAACCTCTTTGCATGTGGAATTGTGTACATCCGATCCCTTTAGAACTTACAGTAAGGAGAGGGTTTCATGCACTAAATTGCTCAATTTATTATTTATTTTTTATTTTTTTTAAGAGCTGTAAACACTTTCAATTGTTAGCAACTTTTAAGTTGGGAACGAGTTCAAGTCACGAAAATCAACTTTGTATTGAGAAAACTGCATCCCCAACTACACCCCCTTAACTACATCCTCTTCATAGTTCTTCAAAACTTTACTTTGTGGACTCTACAAGACTCAAGACTGTGATCCAAACATTTTATCTCGTTAGTCTCAAAGTGAATAAATAAATGCAAAAAATTAGACATCAAATTGTTTGTCTCCGACCAGTTGCTTGGGAAGGGAGAGTAGCCAGCCATGTAGGAATGGAGATTCGAGAAAATGGTAGCAGGGCAAGAGCTTCTCTAGAGATCATCTTCTTATAGAAGAAAGAAAAGTATGGGCCTCTAAGGAGCAGAGTCCAAAACTTTTTGATTGAGGCATTGGGACAAGAATGGAAGGAGCAAATTCAAAAAAGTAGGATCAGAGCCACAGTTGTAGCAACTAGGAAGGACCAAACCTATTCATGAACTAAGAAGAGGTTAGTTCTATCATACATCTGTAAAGATGAGCAAGTACCAGAGGGCCCATAGCCAGTTTTTAACCTATGAAGGGGACTTTTGCCAGCTCTGTGAAGTCCTTGGTGATTTTCTGGGAAGGGATGCCAAAGACAAATTTGTTGAGCCAGTAAATTGGAAAGAAATGTGCTCCTGCTTAGTGGCATATGGGGTTTTCTGGACAGTAGAATAAGCTGTTTCTTGTCAAGATAAACATACTGTACACCCTTACAAGAAATAAGTTTGTCAATTTCTTTTCTGGGAGGGCGAAATCTAATCAAGAATTCTAATCAAGAATTCAAAGCGTAAGAGCCATCATGCTGTTTTGTAGATGAAATGAACTGGTAGAAACTGACTAGAATTGGTAGATGGAGAAGAACAGAGCTTTATTAAGCCTGATGTTCCCACGACTATGAATAATGGCATCATAAATGTTAGTGTCCTTTCAAAGTTTGCCATTCACCGCAATAACTAACCAAGCAATGTACTCAGGTTTGGGCAAATGCCAAACCCTAAAAGGGTAAGGAAGGTTGTAACACCTCCGGTTAGAAAAGAAAGTTTTCAAAGGGAAGCTTTCTTTCAAGACAAGGATAATACGCTTCCAGGTAAGAAGGGAAGCCATCGGCAAAGGCAGGCCCAAACCCTAGTTTGTGCTGGAGTGAGGATCGTATGGCGGTGGGAGATCTACCAAAAAGTCCCTGTGAATTTTTGGTTTCTTGTCTTTGAGAAGGTCGTCGACTAGATACCTAGTGCTATTAGGGTATTTTTTAGAAATAGAGGCTCTCTTTGCAGCCATAGGGGTAAAGAAATTGGGAGAAAGAGTTGTAGTAGAGAGAAGACAGGGAAAAGTTATGGCAAGGCAGTGTTTATGGCGTATTTATAGCCAAGTGCTAATGGTTTAGCTTCTCTAGGAAGCTTTGGCGGCAATTCTTCGCAGTAAGGCTTGAAATTTGAAAAGCGGATAGCTGTCAAGCTTCCTAATCATAGCTGAAGTAGAAGGTGTAGCATCGCAACAATGCAGGCATCAAAACGTCTCTTGATGCCTATTGTCACGACCCCATTCCGCTCCTAGTAGAATGGTGCCATGATGGCCAGTAATCCGAGATTACCAAATGCCAACTCACAAAGTTCACATAATCAAAGTATACATATGGGACTTACATGTGCGGAAGCAATAAATTTAAATCTAATTAGTCCATAAGTATTGTGCATAGATCAAATGAAATGACATACATCATGATATGGTTTACAACTTTGATAAAATAAGTACATGTTACATCTTGATCAAAAGGCTTCTCAAGCCGACATATACAAAATAAATGAATTACAAAGCTAAGAAGCATAATTTGCATGTTACAACTTGCAAATGACATTTAGGCGTCACCGCCTTCTTACTCGTCACCTACATATATATAAGGAGAGGGTAAGTTTGGATACTCAGTGAATGATATTAGTAATAAAGGTTTGAATGAATGAAATTCGAGATCTTTATCAAAACAATACATAGCATATCTTGTACAAAATCAAAGGATGAACCAAGTTCATCTATCAAGTCTTTCAAAGCTTCAAGGGATGCTTACTAGCATCAATATAATACAAGGGATGAAATTCCTGACAAAACAAGGGAATAATCGACCCGGAATCGGTTAGACAAACCCACCCGTACAAAACCGTCGGTAGCAAGGGAGATATCTCAAATAAGGATACTAGTTGCATTATAGTCCCCTAGCACTAAGGACTTTCCAAGAATGTCATCAAAATAAGATAATACTTGATACAAAACTAGGAATAATCATTCATACTTGAACAAACACTTTTTCAAAACGAAACAAGCAAAGCTTTTATCAAAACATTAGAACATAACTTTATTAAAAATACCACTCACATAGCTCTTCGAGTGCAGAGATTAAGGCAAGAATCCAAGACCTACAAATACATGGCAAGGTCCACTAATTGTATTTCAAGAAGACAAGAAGGAATGCTCAAAAGATGGCTATACAATGCATCCCTAAAACAAGCTTTACATGAGTGCAATTGATCTCGGCATTTCTTTCAAAACTAAGTCAAGACAAAGCAAAACATGTGCTGAGAGTTAAAACACTATTTTTCATCTCGGGAAAACATGCTGGGTACCGACTAGGTCTTGGCCGAGGTCCCACACCTCTTGGCCGAGGTGTGATCTCCTAGGCCTAGGTGCGCATGCAAGATAGACTAAGATGCAAGTGATCATGCAAGGTAGGCCAAGGTGAGATACGATGCTTGGCCTAGTTGTGAGATCTAGGCAATAGTGGGTCTCGGCGACCATACTTAGGCAAATGAAGTCTGGAAATTTGGGTTTCCTTTTGAAGGACATGAAGAATATAAACATAAAAAACATAAATGCTAAAATCATAACTTCTTTATTCAAAATCTGAGATTTCATGATATGAGTTTAAAAACATGAACCTGGGTACCCATACATGGAGATTCCATGAAAACAAACACAAAAGTATGGATCTTGATACAAACTTTCGGATCAAAACATGATTTTTCTTCAAGAACACATGAACATCATTTTCTCTTTCTAAAACCAAACTTTAAATTAATGCATGGCTCATGTATCATGCTAGATCATGCAATATGATCGAATCAATATAAAGAACAACAAGAGTAGATCAAGATTCTAACCTCAAAACACGAATCAAACGGTTCAAACTCTAAGAATCAAGCTTGGGATCTAGCTCTCTTACTCTAAACTTCTCTTCCTCTTCCTAGAGCTTCTCTCTCTACAATGCAAAAGGTATGACACAAAATGATATGGGTTTTCAGCTAGTACCTGACTTAACCCTTTGCTGGGACACATGGCAACGCTGGATTGGATCTCCTAAAAAAGGTGACAAAATGACAAGACAAGAGTATGACAAAGTATGTATAACAAGCAAGGTGACAAGGGCACTCTGACAAGGCAATGATCTCGGATTAGGACATAGGCTTCGGCAAGTAAGGTCTCAATGATCTCGGCTAAGAAGGATAACACTTGACCTAGCTGTGCCACACCTCGGCCTAGATGTGCCACACCTCGGCCTAGGTCATACCAGTACAGGAACAAGATCACTAGATGCAAGGATCAAGGATGTCGGATGCCTAGATGATAACATCTCGGCCTAAATGATACACATCTCGGCCTAGGTGATGCACACATCGGCCTAGATGATGACATCTCGACCAATATGCCAAGGTGAAGGTGGAGGTCAACCAAAGTGGTTCCAAGATGGTCCTAGGTGTAAGAGGTTCAAGGGTGTAACCTAGGCTACACACACCAAGCAAGGAACAATGCATACAAGCAATACTCAAGCAAATCACATAACTACAAAACAAAACAGGGACCCTTACTTTAGGCAAAACAAGTCGAAATCTACAAATGCAAGCTTAACAAAACAAAATAATGCAGATGCACATGAACATGGCTATGACGAGGATGAGGGTCATTACACCTATCATGTCAAGGATAGGCATTAATGGATTGCAAGGATCAAGGCAAGGAAATAAGGGAATCTAGGTCTAATTCAAGTATATCCTTAAAGATCTAAAGGATACATTTGAAGGGTGTCACACCCCGGATTTTCAAGACCTGAATCTCAATAAATAAACTCGAATAAGAAATAAAAAGTAATAATGAATATACTCAAAGGTCCCTCTCGTATATATATATATATATATGAATATCATCTGATATATGCAGTTGGTTCATTACATATATCCTGTATTCAATTATAGGTGGAATGAATATATAATATGTTATATGAAACAAAATATCCAACGATAAACAAAATGTCCCGAGACTTACATCAATTACAAAGGGATTTACTCTTACAAAATATAAAGGCACTCGGCCTGTGAAACAAAATGGCCCTTGGCCACCATTTC